TCTCTCTCTCTCTCTCTCTCTCTCTCTCTCTCTCATGCACACATGACTATTCACAAAAGTGCACCCCTCACACCCACTTACTTGCCGGTAACGTCACCATAGAGTCAATGGCGTAACCACCGGGGGGGCCGGGGGGTCCGCGGCCCCCCCAACTTTCAAGTTAGGGGGGCCGTGCCCCCCCAACTTTCAGACCGACTAAGCAGAACCAAATTGATCAGTTCGGGCCGATGCCGACTGTCGGTCGAGACGCTACTGTATGGCTCTGGATTTGACTGATATTCTTAGGGAATTTGCTTCCGCTAATGATGACAGAGAAAAGTGTTTTGGAAAAGTTTAAATTAATTTTTCATTTTACTGCTTTGATGTTGAATGATCTTTTGAACTATTATGACAAATAGATTGTTTTTTTATGTTCATCACCTGATTCCCTTCTTTTTTAATTCAAAATACCCTAATTCTTCTATATAACACGGTCTTCGAGTCCGCCTAGTAGGTAGGCAACCCGTTCTACGGCCCCCCCAACTTTTTTGTCGTGGTTACGCCTCTGCATAGAGTCGTCGTCGCCACCACCGCCACACGACCGTCTTCGTCACCACACCGTCACGGGCACCCGGCAGCCTCTGGTCCACGGCCTGACGCACCCCTTTCTGTTCCAACAAAGTATTATGCACTAAAATGCAAGCTTGAAAATAATGTAAATATTGCGATCAACACTGCACTGCAAGTTCCTTACGAACAACTGCTCTTCGTAACGTACAAATGATTAGGAGCATTTGTATTACAAACAAATTGTTTGTATTACGAAGAGCCTGGTTTGTATTACAAACGAGGCTTTTCGTATTACGAATGGGGGGTGTTCCTAATATGAAGGAAAATCGTTAGTAATATGTCTGCTTTAGATCCTTTGTAAGTTACAAACAAATTCTTCGTAATACGAACACTGCTGTTTGTAAGGAACTAAGAGTGTGGACCATTTAGAAATATTTAGCCCTAATTGAAATTAAACCAAAACTCTCGCAAAAAGTCGTGAAACTCAACCGTTACTTTGTCAAAATTCAAGACAGAAGAATAATACACAGAAATTCAACCCTAATCTCCCCCATGGTGGCAACCAGACAGCGAAAAGATACGGCATCAACAGGCCTCTGCAGGGAAGGGTGTCTTTTCTGCTTAATCTCTGCGACAATGCTGGACTGTCTCACTTAAAAAGTATGATGGAATTTCTCTTTGCCCAATTAGAGAGTTAACCGTTTTCGTCGCTCCATTTAAGTGATGAGTATAGAAACACTGCTCTATATGAAATATGGTTTAGGATCATAACACTTCTTGAAAGATGACCGTCATTCAACTAAAGCAATATGTTCCAAACTCGTCACTTTCAATTAGAGCGTCGAAAGCAAGCGTCGTCGCTCTTTCTGAGTGATTATTTTGTAATCACACGAAAAACTCTAGGAATATAACAAAGCCCCCCTTAGTTGTCATCGTAAAAGCATTTGATCGTGGTAACTAACTTATGGTTGTTATCAATCAGATTTTGGTCACTGCGACCTAGTCTTTTTGTTTCGTGCAAGCACTGCGTGGTCCCTCTATAAGAGCGATACACGCCTGCCTCCTTGAATTTTCAGTGATTTCTTTTCCGCTTTTCCCTTGGATTCCAATATATATATGGAACGCCTTACAAGTGTAGTGTAAACAACAGCCTTGGCCTTGGGCGCCGCCCCGCGCGGGACTGTTGCGGGACAGCTAGGCGCTTAGTATGTTGCGGGACAGCGGCGGGGGCTGGGGGCCGCGCACTTGGTCGCACTATCGCAGCGCCGCTTGGCTCCGCTTGGCTCCGCTCTGCTGGCAGCCTGTCAACAAGAGAGGCACCCCGGACAAGACGGACGCACCCGCGCCAGCCGCCGGCAGCGAGACGCCTTGCGAGTGCGTCGCGAAAGAGGGAGGGAGGGAGGGAGGGAGGGGGGAGGAAGCCAAGGAAGATGAAGGGGAGGAGAGGAAGGGGGGGGGGGAATTCATGTCATCGTCCTGGCGCGGACCCTCGCCGCCGCCGCGTGGAAACTGCCCAACGCATGCAGTATGTACTTTGTGAGGTGCATTCTGCTTCGCCGTTCAAGGACAGGACTTCCCCCGCGCGCGAGGGAGCGGCTCGGGAACCCCTCTCTGTGCACGGGAAAATAAAAAAAGAAACGATCACCACAACTAATTTTTAGTTAATTTCGGGACGATCGATACATATTAGCTGTGGTAACGAATATTAAGCTGTCGTAAGAGTTTGGTTGCTAAAACAAAGCACTCAGCTGCAGCAAGAGACTCTTGGCTGCAGAACCCAAATCGTGGTTTTGCTTTTAGAACGAATTTGTTAGCTCAAGCTTACTCTGGCAAAATAATCTTGGTTCTGGCTACAAATTATTAGTCCCCCCAATAACACAGTCAAAAAATCATTTGATACCACGGGACTGGCAACGGACATTCCGTTATAGCATACTTTATAAAAAAGGTACGGAAGAACCGTTTGAGTAATTGGACCATGTAACAAAATTTAGGGTACGGACGTGTCCGAAAAATTATTGCCGCTGTTGTCCGTTGATTTTCCGTTGTTTTATCTTACAGTAAATCTTTTGACCGATTGTCCCGAAATTGACTAATATTTAGTTCTGACGACCAATGCATTTTTTTTCGTGTGAGCTGCCCAACTCGTACACCGGGCATGCACGCTGCGCAAGGTGTTCTGTCATGGAAAACGGCGAAACCAACCAAAAAGTTTCCCAGAAAAAAAGGAAAACTTTGTATCCATTGCAAAAACATCATAATCTTTTGTTCTACGGAATACTTTAACGTTGTTGTTGTAACCAACGGGGGGCAATCAATGTTTGAACTTTTCCTACCATTGAATGTTGCCTTGCTTTTGAGAAATTTCAAGGAAACTTTAAGGTCTAGGTCATTAGGATGTCGTTGTGGGTCTCTCTACCTTTCCAAAAGTGGGACGAACCATGGTGCTTGTAATCGGTGTACTTTGCGCCAAGCCCTGCCGGTGAGCGCAGGCCAAACCCAAGTAACACGGAATTGTAACAAAAAACACACTTTTAATATTGTTACGCGATATTGACGTGAAAATAACGATATTTTCTGTAGAAGAATTCTTTGAACTGGCGTTTTTGTCGTATATTTGTTAGTATGCCGTTTTCGTGACCATTACACCGTCGAGGACTGTAATGTTCTTGTTTTGTAGCCTAAGGGCACGCAAAATAAAAACCAGCTCCCCTGCTGTAGTAAAAGGCACGAAAAAGCGGGAGGCGCGGCACCACCCTCCTGGAGTGCATGTGGGGGACTCGGGCGGGACGGGTCCGGGACGAGTTCTCGGGCGAGGTCCGGCCTGCTGCAGCACAAGTGCATCCAGCCGTGGAACTTTCCGATACTGCAAGGTCCTGCCAGGCAAGCCGGGTTAATAACTTGTAATGGCACAACGCCCGGCTACGCTCGGTACTTTAAAAAAGGAGCAAAGAGAGATTTTTTTTAGAAAAGGAAGGAGCAGAGAAACGGCAGTGGTATTGACTTCCATTCGCAATCAATAAGAAAATCCCCCACGGGATTTCCGAGGTGATTTCATTAAAGTTCAGATAAAAAAATTGAGGTGGCAAAAATAAAAAGGCCCTAACCTTTGAAAAGGCTAAGTGCTTAGTGCTTAAAACATTTATTTTTAAACGCAAGACACGACTATCTCTATCCTGAGGTGCCTGAGAGACATCGCAGACAGCCACGAGATGGCCTGGCCACCAAGATCGGCGTCGTCCAAACGTGCCCGATCGACTTGCATGGGTAAGTTACTCTCATTCTATTACTGATTTTTTTCACACCTTGTAAGTATTCCTGCTGCGTAAAAACCTTTATAAGCTACTGACAACTGCTTTCGTCAGTAATACGAAATAATTTCGTTTTTAATTACTGAGAAATATTTCTTTTATCAATGAGTTACCTACAACAATATACAAAGTAACAAATTAGTTAGTAATCCTGCTGCACAAAAAAAGTTATAACCTACTAATAAATAAATCAGTATACAGGTCTGAGAGTGTAACTGCACGGTGGAGGGATCATCCAGCAGAAAGTATACGTTTGCCATCCGCCTCCCAAGTTCATTTCAGCCTCTGCATAAGCTCCCAGAGCGCCTGGTGGATAGGCAACATCTCCTCGGCAATGCACGCGTGTACAGCGGGGTGGCCTAACCTGAGTTTCGCAGGCGCCCAGCTCTCGAAAATTTGCCGAGCGAATCTGAGAAAACGGACGTCCTCTGGATGATCCACTAGCCTAGCCTTCCATTGCTTATTACCCGCACAGAAAGAAGTAGATCTTTAACCCTGAGATCGAGACTTTTGTGCAGGACGACAAAGCCGTCATTTTGTGTCTCAAAGTTGTCTTGAAAGAGCAAGGAGGCTGGGGTTAGATCCCTTTACGTTGTAAAGAGCCTCCTTTGGAGCAGACATGCATCGGAGTCTTTCTGGAGGCATCGTAGAGCCTTCTTGGAGACATCCATCGGAGTCTCTCTGGAGGCATCGTAGATGCCCCCCGCCCGGTGCGTGTTGGTTGGGTAGGAGGTGACCTGTAGCCCCCCCCCCCCTCCCCACAACCAGTCCAGGAGGAGTGTTTTGATTCTTTTACTCGGGCGCGGGCTGCGCGGGCCGCGGCTGCTAGGCTGCTGCTCAGCAGGTTATCACGTGGGTTTCCCCCTCCCCCACCTGTCCCATCCTCCCCACCACTCACTACTCGCTTTCGCTTCCCCCCACTTGTCTCCTTCACACTACAAAGTGCTCCCCCACTATAAGGCGCGCACACACACGACTGAGGTAATAATGACGAAAACAACGCAGCAAGTGATAGCGAGAAAAGCCTTCCCACGTAACAAAAAAAAGAAGAAACAAAACAGTTTTCTTTTTCCTCCTCCTTTAAATGAGGCAAAAGCTGACGGTCTGTGAGTCAGTCTCGTGAGTGTGTGTTTGGAAAATACATTTGTGAAGCACAGCGCCCAGTATCTCCGTGCGTCGCTTTATCAGAGCATGGAGGTTACGACATACGTGCCACCCTCACTCTCCCGCCTCGGACACTATACGCTTGCAAGCGGCGGGTCATCTGAAGCATGCTGCACCGGGTGTAAAGTGTATCAGAGCAGACGCCGCAGTCGGAGGATGATTGCATTGCACTCTTCTCTTTGGCTGCAGCGGCCGTGGCGAGGGATGCGTCACTATAAGCGTACCGGGTGTAACTGTGAATACGCAGCACTGCGGGTTTGCGTACTCCATATGGCCGCAGGGGCCATGGCCCCTTACGTTTGTAAAGGGTAGGCAAACCCGCAACACTGCTGCGCATCCACAGTTAAACCCGTGATACACCAATTTTTCTGTTTTGTTTTTTAACTTCTTATGCTTCACTTTCTTGATTTTTCTTAGTTTTTTAAAATGTGTGTACACTGATTTTGTTCTGGTGAAGAGACTACGTAGGTGTAAATCCCCGATTAGGTTCAAACCTGGTATATTTGCTTCTTATCCCTGTAGATGACTATTACGCGTCAAATTTTGTGCGGAAGTTCATAGGTCAAAACTCCCTTTAGG